TTGAATTTCTTGATAAGATCCCTTGTGTACTTGGCTTGGTTGATGAGAGTCCCTTCACTTCTCTGTTTGATTTGAAGGCCAAGGAAGTAGTTGAGTTCCCCCATCATGCTCATCTCAAATTTTCCTTGCATGAGGGTTGAGAACTTGGTGCAGAGATCTTCCTTAGTTGAGCCAAATATGATGTCGTCCACATAGATTTGGACTAATAGGAGATCTTCTCCGTCTTGTAGTTTGAATAATGTCTTGTCAATGACTCCTTTGGTAAATCCATTGTCTATAAGAAATTGAGACAATGTATCATACCAAGCTCTTGGTGCTTGTTTGAGTCCATACAACGCCTTTTTGAGTCTATACACTTGATCTCCCTTAGTGTGTAACTCAAATCCTGGAGGTTGTTCCACATAAACTTCTTCCTCGAGGTTTCCATTGAGAAATGCGCTTTTGACATCCATTTGATAGACTTTGAAGTCTTTATGAGCAGCAAAGGCTAGAAACAGCCTTATAACTTCAAGTCTAGCAACTGGAGCGAAGGTTTCATCAAAATCTATACCTTCTTCTTGACAATATCCTTTGGCAACCAACCGGGCTTTGTTTATGATAACAACGCCGTTTTCATCCATCTTGTTCCGGAAGACCCACTTTGTCCCAATGACATGTTAATGAGTAGGTCTGGGAACAAGTTTTCAGACGTCATTTCTGGAAAATTGGTTGAGTTCTTCTTGCATTGCATTGATCCAATCAGAATCAGCTAGAGCTTCTTCAATATTCTTTGGTTCCACTTGTGAGATGAAACAAGCAAGCATAGCTTCTAGATTTTGTTGGGCACTCCTTGTGCGAACACCAGATTGAATATCTCCAATGACTTGTTGGGGAGGATGATTCCTTAACCAACGAAGATTGTGTTGATTAGGGTTGACTGGTTGATCTAGTTCAGCTTCTGGTTGAAGAACAGAAGTTGTTGGTGTTTCCGGATGGATTGGCACTAGGTCGCCATTTCCGGAATTGTCGCCGTTTGAGTGATCTGGAATATTGGAAGGCTGGCCAAGATTTCCGGAAGGCTCAGCACTGTCTGAATCCGGATTTCTCTGTTAAGTCTTCAGTGGTAGACTTCTAAATGGAATGAACTCCGTAGGCTTCATTCTATCTCCTTCATTGACTTCTTCATCCTTATCAGATAGATCCAGAACCTCATGATCATGCTTTGATGGCTTGTCAACCACATGTTTTTCATCAAAAATAACATGTATTGAGTCTTCAGTGATCATGGTTCTTTTGTTGAAGACTCTGAATGCCTTGCTCACCATGGAATATCCTAGGAAGATGGCCTCATCTGATTTCTCATCAAAAGTGTTCAGATGATTCTTCCCATTGTTTAACACAAAGCACTTACTCCCAAAAATATGGAAATATGATATATTAGGCTTTCTCTCGTTCCATAGTTCATAGGGAGTTTTGTTGTGCCTTTTATATATCATACTCCTATTCTGAGTATAGCAAGCTGTGTTAACAGCTTCAGCCCATAACCTCTTTGGCAAAGAAGCTTCGGCTAGCATGGTCCTTACTGCTTCCTTCAAGGTTCTGTTTCTTCTTTCAGCTACACCATTCTGTTGAGGCGTCCTTGCTGCGGATGTCTGATGAAGAATTCCGTTTTCTTCACAGTAGTGAATGATGATTTCATTCAGGAATTCTGTGCCTTTGTCAGATCTGATCTTCTGAATGGTCTGACTTACTTGATTTTGAATCAGCTTCATGCAGTTGGTGAGTTTCCCTTGAGTCTCCTTCTTGCTGTTGAGGAAGATTGTCCACGTGTATCTTGAGTAATCATCAACTACCACCAGGACATATTTCTTTCCACTTAGACTAATTGGTGTAACAGGGGCAAATAAGTCCATGTGAATAAGACTTAATATCCTTGTAGTTGAGGGTGGCGGTTTTGCCTTGAAAGTAGACTTGACTTGCTTTCCTTTCTGACAAGCATCACAAATGCTTTCCTTCCTGAATACAGCTTTGGGAAGACCTTCTACTAACCCTTCTTTGGATAGCTTGTTGAGGGTTTTGAAGTTGAGATGACTCAACCTCTTATGCCAAAGCCATAGAAGGTTAGTGTCACCTTTGCTGATTAGGCATGCTTCCTTGACGTCGTCCCACATCACTTCATAGATGTTCCTGATTCTCTTCCCAGTGAGAATGACTTTATTTGTGGAGATGTTCTTGAGGGATGCCATGTCCTTGCAGAATTCCAAGGAGTAACCTTTATCACAAAACTGACTTATGCTAAGAAGGTTATAATTGAGTTTGATCCGACAATTCCTTTGGTAAGGTCAAAATCATTGCTTCCTCCAAAAGTAATTCTTGGACCATCATAGGGAATTAGATTGCTCAAAAGGCTCGCATCACCCGTCATGTGTCTTGAACAGCCACTGTCTAAGTACCAGACACCTGGGTACTTAGCGGCTTCCTGCATTAGGAGGAGGAAGATTTTGGTACCCAATTAAGTTTGGGTCCGGAGTAGTTAATGGTGTGTGTCCCTACATCAAGTTTGAAGTTGCAGGGAATTTTCCTTGCAGCTCTAAACTTGTTGGGATTGTAATCATAGTTGTAGGCATAAAACTTTCTACGTGCAGGAGGTGCAATTTCCTGTTTCCTCCTAGCAAACCTAGGTTGATAAGACCTATGATTTTGTCTAGGTTGTGCATAGTGTGGCCTGTGT